TCGGAGGAGGTGCTCATTAGAAACCACCGTCTGGGTTCTGGGTACCCTTGTTGTTCCTGGGACCCCGTTGCTTCTGTCAGCAGTGCCAACAGATTCACAAGTGTGCACATTCCTGTAAATACTGTGTTCGAGCCCATCTGCTTCTGAGTTGAGCTGAACACAAGTTCATCTTGATGCCTCTGACTCTAGTGTGTCACCCCATGGACAGCCCCAACTCTTTTGCTGAGACATAACCCCCTCCTGTACTGAGAGCTGGCTCTGGTGATGTTTTGAGCATGCCGGGCAAGCATATGGAGATGTTGCTTCTGGTCTCTTTCTTGGAACCTGCTGCACGTGTGGAATGTTCGAGGGATCCTGGGTCCCTGGGAGACCCTTCTGCTTTGGGTTCTGCCTGGCCAATCAGGGACCATAAAGGGGCCATGAACTGATTTGCAGCTGGTCCTCTGGGTTTGATGCCAGTCTGCCCTGCATCTTGATGGGGAGGTGAGTGATTCCTTGCTGCTAGTTTGCTTCTGATTTCTGTGAGGTGGACACTGGTTTGAATGCAGGGTCTGCTCCCAACACTGGGGCATCATTCAGGGAGGGGCCACTGCAGGGAATTGTGCACGTGATGTCGTCCCTGGAAAGCCCTGTTTTCTTCCTTGCCCTTATTGTTTCTGACTGAAGAACGGGGTCAGTGGCACAGAGTGAGCTGGGGATGCAAGGACATTGTGGAGCAGGTATTGGCACTGGCCCTGTTCCCACAGACCCTGTTAGCTCTGCCGTGCCATGCACGAATGTCTGCCTGACAGGGTGGGGTTCATGAGGAATATCGGTGACATTCTGTGAGATTAGCGTGTTCATTGTGTGTGGTGTGGAGTGTGCATGGGTGTATGGCGAGATTGGGACTTTTGGAAATACATGACTAGTTGCGAGGCCTTGAGTATTGTACCCACCCTTGCCATACCCACTCCTGAAGGCCCACCGTCAAGACTTAGAATCTTAGAGGGAATCAGAAGGGGAACAGTTACAGCTGAGGAGGAGAAAGGGGATAACTTGAGAGGGCACACATGACTGGGAGGAAGGCCAGAGAGAACACACAAAGACCAGGAGCCTGGGCCATACACTGCCTCAAGGCCACCGTGGTCAGTGGTGGCCGTAGGCCAGGATGCCGTCAGGAGTATGGAGGTAGAATGGGAGCTGGGCCTCTCCCCTGTGGAGATCTGGTAGCCTGTGGCCCCTTGGTCTCTGATCAGCTCATGATGACCCTAAACCACCTTCCTTTTACCATTACGGGCAGGCACTCAGCCACATCGTCAGCTTCATGTACTGGAGAGTGTGTTTCCACTTTGGCCAGAAGTTGGGAGAGGTTCATGGGGAGAACCATGGATAACATGGGTGGTGAGTGTGTGTCAGTCAGTTGAATGCTTTTGTAGCACTAGCCAGTAAAAAGCAGGAGTTTGAGGGTTAGCTAGGTGGGGCGGACCTGGGCAGGTGAGAGGTGTTTATCAGATGTCCCTTTGTCTTTCTGAGGGGTCACCCCCAACAAACCCTTCTCCACAGTGCTGTCTGTGGGGGACAGGCTGTTTAATTCACTGACCTATTCCCTTGGAGGGGCACACAGGAGGACGGCATCTTTAGAATTTCAACTTCACTGAGGATACAGCCTTTTAGATATCCTCAGGGTAGCTGGATATACTTCTCTTCTACAGTGGGCATGGAGAGGGGAGCTTTTCACTTCTGACCAGGGATACCGAGAAGCCGGGGGGGCTCCCAGGACTAGCGAGCCTTGTTCTTTGCAGAGATGGGCAGCCAGCCTGTCTAACAGCCCCACAGTCTTCCCACTCCATATACAATGGCTCTGGTGCGTTCGGGGAGGAAGGGCTGGTTCTGAGGCCTAGCGCACTGACAGGTGAGTGCACCGGTTCTTACCTCTCCCTCTGCTCCCAATCACACCCACAATCTGGGCCCACACGTTCTCAGCGGATGTCACGGGAGGAAAGAAGCCCTGATGTGGGCAGATCTCAGCAGGGAGGCTTTAGTTGTAGTTTCTACTTTATGGGGTGTGTCTGCCTGACTTTCACTTCCTGTGAAAGGCGGAAGTAGCTTCTTGTTGAGGCCCTTCTCTGGGGCTCACCAACTCAGCTGATAGCCTGGCTCATTCTTCTGGCCTTGGCCTATTGCAGACCGCCATACTGTTCAGGGATGGGTTAGATCTTCCATTAGTGCCCAGTGTGCTATGTTGTCCTGAAAGATGCCCACCTGCCTGATCTCTTAACCCTCAGCCTGGGCTTTTGTTCTGTGTTGAGGGCAAGGGGAGGGAGAGGCTGTACCATTGATATCTCTATGTGGCCCTGAGCATCTCATACAGGGTCACCTTTGTAATGGCTGTGATGTCCAACCCAGTATGTGCTGAGGGTCCAGATGTCCTGTCTGCCCAGTGTCCAGAACTAGAGATGCAACTGTAGCCCTGAGTTCTAGTTTTGCTTTGGGGACCTAGCGTCTGTTGGCTTTAGAAGGTTTGTCAGACAGTGGCAGGCCTTGCTCAGGGTTCTGCAAGCCCTACGAACAGCAGGCCTGGATCTCAGACTGAAGTTACCCTGAGCCCTATACCATCGGTTCCCCCAGTATGTGTTTTCCAGAGAACTCTACTGCCCTCTCTGGGAGGTGGTGGTGCTAGTTGTCCTGGCTGTTCGTGTCATGTGACTTCACATGCTTTGCACACATTCTGCTCTTTGGATGCGGCCTCTGTCTTCCAACCCCTGGAGCACCGCCTGCTTGAGCAATCGCCCGGTGTGGTGTACTTAGCAACAGTGAAACGACTGGAATAGCCTGTAACACTCAGCGTGTGGTCCGGTCAGTGGTCCAGTTACACCAAGAGGAAGCAACACACAGCCGGGTGAGGGTCGAGGTTAGCGACGGAGGACAAGGAGGGACTCGCTCGTTCTCATCCTTAGCGAGTTCCGTGATGTCATTTCTCCCACACCACGGGGCACAGTGAGACCCTTTGGGGTCACGTGGTAAAGTCAGGGTCACAGGGAATGCTCTCTTCCATGTGTTCCTAGGGTACGGGTGACCACTACTGGTTTAAACGACTTTGAGATGCAAAATTTTATTTATGACAGATGGGATTCATGAAGTTGGAGGTAGGTACCAAACCAGAAGGGATCTAGTGTTCGATGACAAAGCCTGGAGTGCCAGTAGTCACAGGATGATGGCAAAAGCAAATTAGGGAACTTGCCTGGCTACAATCTCACCAGCACCTTCGTAGATGCGACCCCCGGAAGGTCCTTGCAGCAAATCTCTGAATTAATGGTTGCTTCCATTGCTTGAGGTTAGGTTCTGGTTTCCATCAGTAAAGTCTTTTGCAGGAAACACCTCGGCTTCAGGCTTGCCCGTGCATGCACATCAAGCCAAGGTTAAGGCCACTCGTGAACCCCAGGTGCTTTGTTCGGAGAGTCCCCAGGTCTGGTCCTCGTTTCAGTTTACTTTAAAAGAGGTCATCTCACACAACCTGAGTTTGAAGATGCGCGGATCCCTGTCTGATGCCCAGATCTGTCCCCTATGGTTTCCCAGGCTGGATCTCCCACCTATTCCCAAGTCAGCGTTTGGGAGTGTCAGGGCCTGGCAGTTCTTGTCCCAAGGCTGTCTCAGGCCCCCTCCTGGTTAGGACATCTCCCCAGTCTCTCCTAGCAGCTGTCAGGAGGTGCTTGCTCCATCTTTTGCTGTGCTTACTGACCTTGCTCTCCTCCGTGTGTAGAGTGTGGCACAGCCACGTCTGGAGTCCTTGGTGACAATCTCTGAGGAGCAGGAACACTCCAAATCTGCATTCTCCTCTCCCTCATGTAGAAGTGGGAATGCCTTGTTTAATCAGATGGAAATTCCACACCTTGTCCGCCGACAGATCCACATTTCCTCAGGTTGGCTGAGCATCCCCTGTCCTGGGGGGCTGCCACGATGTAACTCATGACAAACACCCGTGTCCAACTCTGGTCCTGTGGTCCGCTAGGCTCTGGGACAGGCAGGGGGTAGAGACCTTCAGAAGGAAGTACTCACAGTTGGTGTCTGGGGTCTGAGCTGAGTTCTTTGGCCATGGCCAATCTCTGTGAAGTCTTCTGTTCCTGTGGGGTCTTGACTAGAACTAGGTCAGGTCCACAAGCTAAGTTCCCGCGATTCTATCTAACCAAACAGGTAACGTCCTTCTGGCCTTCAGAGAAGACCCAAGAGTCTGGGCTCCCCGCAGGCCCCTCCTCAGCCTGGCAGGCGTGGTGGAAGGGGTTGTTTACAGAGCAGGGCCTGCTCTTCTTGTGCTAAGTTTACTCTGTGCCCGATCAATGACTCGAGTTTTATTTTCGTCTCCTTACCTCCTCTGAATCTTTCTAGGGTGTTCCATGTAGTGTTGAAAGCAGCCATTTCATATTCTTACGTTGTAGGTGTGTTGTTTGTGTGGGACTGTCATAACAGAGTGCCACAGAGTGGGGGTTGATGGTTTATATAACAGAAATGTCTTTTCTCGCGGTGCTGGAGGCTGGGATCTACAATCTGGGTGGGGGCAGGGCTGGCTCCTCAGGCCTCTCACAGTCCTGCATCCTGGTCTCTTCTTATTGGCCAGGCTGGATCGGAGCTCACCCTAATGATCTCATTTTACTTTAATTACCTCTTTTAATAACCTGTTTCTAAATACAACTACATCCTGAGGTCTTCCAGGCTCAATGTTTTGACATACAAAATTGGGAGGAAATAGAATTCAGCCCAGGGTATAGATGCAGCTCTCTCTTAATCCCATGGCCTGCTGTGGCGTCGCTGTCTGTTGGGAGGGCAGAGGTGTGTTTCTGCCACGTGTGGCTCCTACGGTGTTTCACTGCGGGTCTGGGCAGTGCTTGAATGTCCCTGGGTAGCTAAGAGTCTGGCGCTGGCTGAGGGGTTTAGGGAGAGTCCCTTCGTGGCTTCCGTGGTAGCCCAGGCCCTCCTGCCCCTGACTGGTCTGAACTCAACGCTCTGCCACTGTTCTCTCCCTACAGCTCGGTGCCAATGCCCTGCTCTTCGTGGGTGTGAACATGTATGGCGTCTTCGTGCGCATCTTGACGGAGCGCTCACAGAGGAAGGCCTTTCTGCAGGCTCGAAGCTGCATCGAGGACCGACTGCGGCTGGAGGATGAGAATGAGAAGCAGGTCAGTGTGTCCAGTGTGAAGTGGTCCTTCGGTCACCTCTGCCTCTCTCCCAGCTATGCTAGATTTCAGTATTATCTGATGAAGGGCAGTTGTGACTGTAGGGTTCCTACCTCTTCTTGCTGGGAGCCTCAGTCTACCCTTTAAGGGCAAGGCTTTAATGCTCAGTGTTTCATGGTGGTGTCTGAGGAAGAGAGGATGTGATGGGCAGACAGCCGGGGCTTGCTTCTCTGACACAGCTGAACTACTTGTAAGCCGTGGGTGACCATGGGGTGGCGTGTGGGCGTCTCTTATCTTTCTGATGTGCCTGTAGTGTGTTGAGCCAGGCTTGGGGGGCGGGTGAGATGGGTCCTGGACACACCTCAGCTGACTATGAATGTGCAGCTGGCCCTGACCCTCTGCTCTTAGGCATTCAGCTTCCTTTGGCTGTGAGACAGTGTAACAGTCACCCTATTCTGCAGATGAAATAGGCTAGGAGGGCACCCCACATCAACCCCTTTATCTCCTGTGGTTTGTCACCTGTGTGTCCTTGTCTGGTGTAGGGAAGGAACTGAGCCCATTGGGTGAGTAAGAGTGACTCAAGGAAGCCTAGGAGTGAGGCTTGGCACACCAGGGGTGCCTTTGCTAGAAGAATCCGGAATCTTATCTTGGCTTGGGGCTTACAGGCATTCTGCATACCTCTTGCTAAAGTCTCATAGTAGATGTTCAGGCTAAGGACAGAGTATTCATTTCTCAACCGTTTTTGCCTTCCTTATCAATAAAAGATATTATTATACCCACTGTTAATTTTAAAACATTTATTCGAATGTCTAGACACTGCAATGCAATGTAGTATTTATAGCAAAGTTTGAATCTAATTGAAGAATAAATCACATAAGTATTTTTAGACCGTGTGTGCTAATGAGTGAGTGGACACATGGCTGGGCATGTGGAGGGTGGTGTGTGTTGTGTGCATGGATGTGTCCATACCTGTAGAAATGTATAGGTGGATGTCTATGCATTTGTACACATGGGTACATATGGAGCTGTGGGAATGTCTTTGTATATGTGTTTGTGTGTATATCCATGTGTAGGCATTTGTGCATGCATGTGTGCATGTCCATGTGCACACGTATGTTGTTGTTGTTGTATACTGTATGTATGAATGTGTAGATCAGACATCTTCACAGGCTTTTTCCTTGGCTTCTAGAGTCATCATACTGGTATTGAGAGTTCCATGGTACTTTCTAAGAATTTCTTGAATGTGGCTTTTTTTTTTTAATCTTGGATACAGGATCTTGCTATGTAGCCCAAGCTAGTCTTGAGCTCTTCATCTCCCGGCCTCGGCCTCCCAGATGCTGGAAGCGTAGTCATGCACCACTGTGCCCAGCTTGCCCTTGGCTTTATTAGCTTCACAAGGTCGAGGAGTGAATCTTCAGGAAATCTTCTTGTCTCAGAGCTAACAGTGTCCTGCAGGGTTGGAGCAGCTGGCTTCAGTGAGGGCCGTGCTCGTGTGTGTTTGTGAAGAAGCCCGTGGCTGACTCTTGTTTTCATCTTCTGCTCTGTTTTCCTACGTCCTTGGCTTTTGTCCGATTTCATGTCTCTCTTATCTTCCCTGCCTTTTCTATTGATCTCCTTGCGTATAGCCTTTTTCCTTTCCTAGTTTTTCCTTAAGGTAATGGAGGTCATTTTATTTTTACCTATCTATAATTTAATTTTATTTTGGTTAGTATGTCTTAATCAGATCTGCTGATTGAAGGGTGCAGTGTGGTATCTCAGCATGCACATGCAGTTTGCACCAATCAAGTCAGGACAGTTAACATTTTCTTCCTGGACGTGTTTTATCCCATCGTCCCTTGCGTTCTTTTCTGCTAGTTTTTCCTAACGTGCAGTAGGTTGTGATAAAGCCACTGCACCCTGCTGGGAACACCAGAATACACTCCTCGCTGTAACCCCACTCCCACACTCTGGCCGTCGCTATTCTACACTGTGATAGCCTTCTTTAGCTTCTGTGTATGAGAGCGAACATACAGAATATAGTCTTCCCGTGTCTGGCACGGGTCTATTTAACTCAACCTCATCTTCTCTGGTCCCATTCATTTTGCAGATGGTATGACTGTGTCCTATTCCATGGCTGAATGATATTCATATTCCGTATCCCTCCAGCCACTGGCAGTCACTGAGGCTGCTTTCCTGTCTTAGCTCTTGTGACTAGTGTGGCTGCATGAGTGTGTGTGTGTGTGTGTGTGTGTGTGAGAGAGAGAGAGAGAGAGAGAGAGAGAGAGAGAACATGTACACATGCACATGCATGTGCATACATATATGGTGCACGCACGCATGCACATGCATGTGCATACAAACGTGTGTGTGAGAGAGGGAGAGAGAACATGTGTGTGAGAGTGTGTATGTATGACTGTGTGCGTGCTCGTGTGAGAGCATGTATGTGTGGCTGCATGCGTGTGTGTGCATGCGTGTGAGAGAGATAGAAAGCATGTGTGTATGTGAGAGTATGTATGAGTGTGTGTACATGTGTGTGAGAGAGCATGTGTGTGAGAGAGAGTGTATGTATGAATGTGTGTGTGAGTGTGTATGTATGAGTGTGTGTGTGTAGTATCCTGAGGTTTATTCTTTGGGGAGGATTTCAGATGTAGTAAATGACCCACCTTCCTAAAAACAAACTGGGACCAAAACAAGAGGAAGTCTTGTCCTATGGGAGCTGCGAGGAATAGGAAGCCTGCTGCACCTTTGTTCATCCTGTAGAGAAGACAGGAGTTAAATCCCTTTAAAATTCAGAGCTTTCTGCAGAGAGGCATCAGCTGCATCAGCCTGTGGTGTTGCTTCTGTTTGATTAACCTGAGACCCGGGGCTCAGAGATTTTAAATAACTCAGGGATGAGGCAGAACCCTGACCAAACAGAGCGTCTCTTACCTGGGGGAGCTTTGGTCACGCCTTTCTTCGTGTAACTTTTGGCTTGCTCACGCGTTCACAGAAGTGTATGTTCACAGAGACCAAGTTGGATTGCTCCGAGGCTAGAACAGAGGCGTCAAAGTTTATTCTTTGAAGTAGAAAAACCTGAGAGAGATGGAGCAAGAAGAAAGAGGCCCGTGAGGCCTGTGAGGCCTAGGAAGGTGGTTACAGACAAAACAGCCAACCAAAATAGAAACCTGGGGCACGCAGGGATCGTTTGATGCCCGTGAGAACTTGAAAACTTCAATAGATAAAACAGACCAATTCCTAGAAAAGCATCAGTAACCAAAGGTGATCCTAGAAAGAAAGCAGAAACCCATACAGCCTGAAAAATACCCATCAGAAATGTATTTATTTATCGTTATATTGTCATATTGTGTTTTTCTTACCTTGCAAGGCTGGGGATCGAACCCAGGACTGCACATGGCAGGGAGGTGAGATTTGCCCTAATCCCCTAGTGAGTGCAGAGGTTTGCAGATGAATTCTTTGTATCAGCCAGGAAGCTAACAGCTGAACTGGCAAGAGTGTGTTCTTTGGGAACTAATCACTAGCCCTTCCTAGTGATTACTCTGGGCCAAGCTAGGAGGCTCAGCTAGGATAGGTGGGTTAGGGGTGACTGTGGAAGCCTGTTTCCTTGTCTAGTTTTCATTAGCGACTCTTTAGGGGCATTTGTGATTCTGGTTCATTAGTAGACTGGGAAGGCCTTTATTGGCTGCTGGCCCTTTTGTGGTATTGTTGTTAATACATGGGGTTCTAGGCAGGCGGCCAGTATGCTTATTGTTGGAGCGACCTGACTCTTAAGAATAGTTTGTTTAACAATAGCCAGGGTACCTGGCAAATGGAACAGAGACTGGGGTGGTTGGCCTGGCTTGGGTCAGCTTCTATTCCTCCTGGCTTATGGTCAGGTGCTGGGCAGGGGAAGTGATCATTTCTATTCCTTCGTTTATTCCTTCCTTCCCTCTTTCCTTCCTTCCTCCCTCTCTCCCTCTCTCCCTCCTTCCCTTCCTTCCTCCCAGCCCCAGACTTGGATACTCAGCAGGGGTGTGGTGGATACCTGCTCCAGCCTGGATGCTGCCTGTTTGTGTGCACTGTGGCAGGCATGTTATATGGGGCTCTGCCAGACTCCTTAGCTCTACCTAGTCCTGTGATCAAGCCCATCCATGCTGTTTGTCCCCATGTGCTCCAATATTTGGGCAGCAGAGGCCACAGGTCCAGTGTCACCTCTTTGCTTTACTATGGTGGTTCTCAGCACTGACAGGAAGAATTCAGTGCTAGTTAGATCCTCTCTCTGGGCAGGAAGCTTCACAGCATGGTCCAGGGACTGCAAGTGGTGTATGTGGACCTTAGATTCCTGACTCGGCTGTTTTGTTCCTCATCTGCCTTGAGTCTGCACGACAGTTGGTGATTTTGGCCAGTGTGCTATCCCTGGACAAGCTAGTAAGGCAGGTAAGGAGTAGGTAACACAGCTTCTGGGCATGGCGGCAATTTCACCAGGATTAGGAAAGAGCTGGAGAAATAGGAATAGGAATTAGGAACAGGGCTCTCTCCAGGCCTGAACATAGCTACCCTTCTAGCTGTGTCCTGCTCTGGCTGTCTGTCTGTTTAAACAACTCTGGTGTCTTAGGTTCTCAAATTTCTTCTAAGGTCACCAGTCAGAGTGGAGTAGGACCCACCCCAGTGACTGTGTATTAACTTAATCACTCTTTTCTTTTTTTAAAAAAAAAGTAGAACTTTTTATTTTTTCATTTATTAGCATTTATTACAAAATAATAGATTTCATTATGGCATCTCATACATGTATATGTTTTGATCGTCTTTCACCCCTATTATCAGCATCCCTTCCCAGTGCCCCAGAGTTTCCCTTCCTGTCTCCACGCCCTCCTTTCACTTTCATGTATCATCTTGATTGTTTCTTTTCTTTTTGTCACCATTGTTACGTATATACACATGTATAAGTTTGGAAACACCACCTTCTGAGTCCCTTGAGTGTTGTTCATATGTGTATATGTTTAGGGTTGACCACTTGGTATTGGGCAATCAGTTAATGAGCTCATTCC